GCGGGTGCCGAGCCGAGCTCGGCTTCATTGTCGTACCGGACTCAGCCATGAGGGAAGTCCAAAAGGCCGACATGAAGCGAGTATCTCGGTCGCTCGCTATGTCTTTCGGAACACCCTGGTTGGTAATCCAACCGGTGTGCAAGAGTCGTGCGAGGTCATGCGCTGCAGCATAATACTTGCAAGGAAGGAAGCGAACATACTTGCTCAAACGGTCAACGACCGTGAGAATACCGTCATGGCCGTGGCGATCGCGGGGAAACGGGCCTGTCACGTCCATAGCAATGGAGAGGCGCGGTGCCCGAGGAATCGGCAATGGCTTCAGTTCGCCGAAGGGGACTCGAGATCGACCCTTGTTGAGGTGGCAAACTGCACATGACTCAATGTACCTCGTGACGTCATGGAGGACGTCGGGCCAGTGATAACGCTGGCGGAGGCGTGCTARTGTGCGGTTCACGCCAAGGTGTGCCGAAAGTCATGCGTCGTGGACTTCGCCCAGAAGACGAGTCCGTAAGATGCGTTCTTGGGGCACAACTAACAAGTCCTTTCCTCTCGTGTGAAGGAGAAGGAACCGATCGGAAATCCGATAGTGGCTAGCCGGCGGGTGATCCGATGAAAGCTCCGCGTAAATCGTAGAGTAAGTCGGATCGGACTTGTAGCCTTTGACGAAATGCGGCTGCAGATCGTCATCGAGGTCGAATGCCATGGTCACAATGGCACAAAAGTCAGGCCGTCGTGAGAGGGCGTCCGCAGCTCGATTGGCGGGACCGGGAATGTGGCACGGGTCAAAGTCGAACTGGTTGATGTAATACATCCATCGACCGATCGTGCTAGTGACCGTATCCTGCGTTTTGTAAAAGGTCAACGGATTGTTGTCCGTATTCCATTTAAAACGCCGACGACTGAGAAGAAAGTGGCGCCACCGTTTGAGAACGGCAACGAACGCGAGTAGCTCTTTCTTTCTAGCGTCGTCGAGAGTGTTTATGAGAGGCACCTTTTGGGAGAAATACTCGACCGGATGCCAACCGTCCTCGTGACACTGTTCCAACACCGCGCCAATACCGTATCCCGAAGCGTCCGTAGTCACTGGGGTGGGAAGGGTGGGGTCGTATATACGGAGGGCAGGTGCGGCTTGCATCGCTGCCTTCAACGTAGTGAACGCGCCACGGGCTGCGTCGTCGAACTCGAAGGGCACCTTCGAGGACTGAAGTCTTGATAAAGGAGCGGCCACTTTTGAGTATGACTCGACGAATCGCTGATAATATCCAGCCAAACCCATGAAAGAGCGTACATCCGTCGTGCAACGGGGTTCCGGCCAATCCACGATGGCTTGGATCTTGTCCACTAAGGGACGAATGCCTTTCGGCGTGACAAAATGACCCAAGTACTCAAGCTTTTGCTTGGCGAATTCGCACTTGTCGAGATTCGCTTTGTACTTGGCTAGTCGCAAACGATCCAGAACAACGCGAAGGTGTATGATGTGTTCGTCCAGCGTCCTACTGTAAACCAAGATGTCATCAAGGTAGATGAGGACACTGCGATCGAGAAAGTCGCAAAACTCAGTCGTCATCACTGCTTGGAAAGTCGCGGGGGCATTGGTGAGGCCAAAGGGCATGACAACCCACTCAAAATGCCCGTACCGCGTCTTGAACGCGGTCTTGTACCGGTCTTGAGGCTGGATTTCAATCTGGTGGTAACCTGACTTCAAGTCCAACTTCGAGAAGTACGTCGCGCCGCCTAACCGCTCAAGAAGATCATCAATCCGAGGGAGAGGGCCGGCGTTCTTTACGGTTTGTGCGTTAAGTTTCCGATAATCGATGCATAGCCGTAGATCTTTGTTCTTCTTCCGGACAAAGAGAACAGGGGGACCGTATGGCGAGCAACTAGGGCGAATCCAGCCCTTGTCGAGAAGGTCATCGAGTTGTGCGCGAAGCACCTCGAGTTCCTCTTCGCTCATGCGGTAGATACATCCACGCTGAGGGACGGTGCCAGCCTCGAGAGTGATCCCGTGACGTATGGGCCGATCCAGAACCGTTCCGGTGGGAGCCTCGAAGACGTCTCTATACTCGTCCAAGAGGTGAGAAATGC